GAAAAATGGGTGAACCCTGGTGTGAACGCTGTGGAACCAGTACTGTCTTGTGACCAGATTTTTGAGGTTTTATTTTCTTGTTTGTTCTGGAGAACAGGGTTCAAGCTCTGAGAAAATAGAATATGAATCGAAGAAAAACTACTGTTGTGGTCTGGGAACTACTGCACAAACCACACAAATACCGATCTCAGTCAAACAGGGATGGTTTATTGAATGCCACACCCCAAGACTGATCCATCAGGGCCACATTCCAGACTTGTGAACTAAACCATGACATTGAGTTAAGATCCTAAGAACCTGTAAGCCTAAAATCCACAAACATCTGTGCCAAATTATTCCACCAATCAAGATTTAGGGATAAGGGATTTCCTTAGGAACAAATCTTTGTTGTACACTTATCCTGCTCCCATTGGTTGAGGTATTTAACTGCGGCAGGGGACTTGCCTTGTCTAACATTCATGTCTTGTCAACCAGGATGGGACTTGTCTAACATTCATGTCTTAACTTGCTAAGCAGCATATCCATTTCCAGAGAGGACTTGGGAAATTAAATTTTACTGAACCCCTACTCAAAATGGAAGTCTTAAACCAAATAGCTTCTTATATTGGTACAAGTGTCTCTCTTAGGTTGTGGTCTAAGCTTACTGTAGGTAACTATACAAAGCAGTCCTACTGACTGCTATTGTGATCAGTTTCCAAGGACATAAAATATAATGGAATATGTAATCAACTTGGGTATGAGAAAGTTTCCTAGTAAAAGCAGAAACAATATATGAGAAAATTTCCTTATGCTATTAGTAACAACAAAATGGCAAGCTAGCCAGGTAAGTTACCCAGGCCTTAACATTCCATTGAGGCCTTAATATTTTACCTAGGCCTTAACAACTAACATGCTAAGAACACACAGCCAAAGCTCATTGGTAGCATTTAGCATATGGAGCTCTAAGCTAGTGAGTAGAGTGAGATAGAAGTCTTATCCCTGGGCCTTTAGAGGTAGCACAGGATAATCCTTAGAGCACAGACTCTGGGGTCTAACAGCTCAAAACTCAGCTCCAACACATGAGCAACTGAGCTATGTGTTAGGTATTTCTTCCATGCCTCAGTTTCCCGGTTAATAAAACAAAATGAATTTTCCTTACAGTTGGTTTTCATTGAGAATTGCACTATGTAATTATATAAATCAAATGTTAAAGATTCTGGAAAACCCACACGGATGTGTTGTTTGTGCAGTCAACTTCATTCATTATAATAAATTCTAGTGGTTATCATCAAAAGCTTTACTTGGATTCAGGACGCATTTGTGTTGCATAGTAAGAGAGCCATATGCTAGATCTTTGAAGTGCTGATTAAGAAACAATCAGTCGTTAAAATAACTTCATTTTAATGATGAGATGACTATATTAATTTGCAGATAAAGAACATCACTAAAAGCTTTGGCTGTTGACAAACCCTGCATGCCCACGTGTTTGGTTTTTCCTGGTAAACAGACTTTTTGACGTGAACAGAAAACCAAGTGGTATGCACCAGTCTTTGATAGTGCTTGACTGTTTCCTGTAAGAAAGGGGTCAAAAGAAATGGATCCTGTGACATCTACCTAAGTGCTGGTTGCTCTTCTCAATGAGAGGCATCTGAAGCATGGATCTGCTGTGTTGTGCACAACTGTGTTTTGCTGCTGGTATCAGAAGCACAGGGCACCGTGTAAGAGTGTCCTGCTCATGAGTTGAACCAAACCATAATTTACCATCTTAAGAGGTCTCTCTCCTCAGGCTGGTAGTTTAGAACATTTTTGAGTTCAACACGCATTAACCCCTTTGGGGCTTCAGCATACAGGGGCTTCAGAGGACAAACCAGCTTAAAACTGTAGGCTTGGAACTACTTAAAACACTCAGCTCTGCCTGAAAAAAAAAAAACCCTATTACATCTTTTAGAAGGGGAGATTTTTTTGTATGCACATGCATGTTGCTGCAGAGCATGAACCAACATGTTCATGTTGGTAGAGCATGCTACCGACAGCCTGAATGGCACATGCTTGGAGCATGTGTGACTTTTGTGTTAGGATTTACGTAAAAGTAATCTAGTCTATAGAGTAAGGGGGCAGATCACTGACTATTGTAAAAATATACTGGAGAGATCACTGCAGACACTGCCACAGTCTTCTAGAACTCCAAAGGCAGACCAACCTACTTTACGTTTGTCAAGCAGAAGCAGGCAGTAGCCTGGGAAGGGACCCTCTTCTGATCCAGCTGCAAAGCATAAGGAAGACAGGCTGCTGACAATGGTCCACAGTGAAGCATCCTGCCACCACCACATACAAGGTAAAAACAAGAGCGCTCTTGAAACCACACAGGAGCCCTGAAGGCAATGGTGATTGGATGCACCTGCAGGAATTTATCACTTTTATTAAGAAACAACGATTGCAAATTAAAGGTAAAAACCAGATGTCTGATGAGTTTTTTCAGAGGTGAAAAATGGCTCTTTATAAAAGATGACAGTAAAAAGACACATTCAGTTTGGCAAAACGCTTTATTCAAAGAACCTCCCTTTCCTCCTTAACTGCTCAAATATCTCCTAAGGCTGGGAGTGATGTCTGATATTTACACAGCTCAAACTCTGAATACTCACTAATGTCTTCGGGCTGTTCTACACACATGGCTGCTCCGGGCTCCCTCCAGCTCTGATCTTTGTTCTTAAAATGTACTACTCAATGAAGCGTTCAGAATTTGAATGAATAAAATCTTCACCACCATAATTTGTTACTTTTCAAATCATCCTTTTTGGGGAAGCTGAGACCATTCTCTGGAAAGAAAGCAAATAGCACAGAAATGCCTCGCAGTTTCGAGTGATGCACCAAGGCTTTCTTGTATTGCTGGGGAATAACCACTGCCTCCCACTCTGCTGGAGGAGTCTACCTTCCACCAGAATAGATGTAAAATAACTCACCTGTCAAAGGCATCGATACACTTCCCCCCTTAAATAGGGGCCTTGTCTGAATGCAGACCAGGCCTTTTCTATCTCTGGCTCTTTTGCTGCTTGCCTCATGGTGGTAAGTTCTGTAGGCAAAGCTCAGGGGAAGAAGTCTGATCCTCAGAGTAGACAAATATACACAGCTCTCCAGACAGCAGAGACTGACTGCAGGGGTTATGAGATGGGAGTGCAGCTGGTCATCAAGCAGTCAATTCAAAAACTGTAACGATCTGGTGAGTTTCTTCCTGAACATCAAGCGTACATGGTAATGTGCACACAAGTCTCTTCCCTCTCCCCTATCGCCACGCACAAAACAACAAAAAGCTGGGTAGCATTCTCTGGATGTCTCCCAACAACTGCTCCTCACTCTTTTTTTTTGTTTGCTTGGAGTCACTGGGATGTCCCCTTCCTTGGCTGTAAGGAAGCATTATGAAGAGGGAGGAAGGGGCCTTGGCAAGCATTTGTTTTCTCATGTAACACATGTCAGACACTCTGCCAGGAGCTGGCAGTTCAGAAATGAATTATGCATGCTCTCGGCCTCTTTCATACCTGGAATGTCTACAGTGAGGAAACTTCTAGGAAAAAAAAAAAGAATATACTATAAAGTGGAGAAGGGCCAATTTCCGACCCCAGCTCTGGTCATAGTGAGCATATTCCAGTGCTTAAATAGTGCCCATACTTATTTCCAAACACTATACTGACCACTGGTAATAATGGGCACATTTTATCTCTATTCTTTCAATTGTCAGCATGACCTGCCACAGTCAAGATTAGTCAACAGCTTTCATTAGAAAGCCAGTGAGCCCAAAGAGCCTTGTTTACGTAGCAGTTCCTCCTGATTCTATCTACCTCTAGCCAAAGAGAAGATCTTGGCCTCAGATCTTTAAAATGCACTTTTCCCTCTAAGCACACTGTCTATCTGCTCAGACACCATATCGACCACCCACAGCTAAGTCACTGGTGTAGAGTTATCCCTGACTCCATTCCCCTTCCCCATCTCTAGGTTAAAAAGAACCAAACAAGAAGGACCTGAAGCAGGATCCTCTGCTCCGGGGCTGAGCTGGACAAGAATATGCAGACCCTTCAGATAAAGCGTCCGTGCTCACACTCTCCTGCAAGCTCTCTGCCAAATGCTTCCCACACACTGCACTCTTATTAGCAATGCTTACAGAAACACTAGACAAAGCATTATACATGGATAGAAATACCCTAGAAAACGCCTAGAAATTACCAAGAGGTCCCAGGGAGCAGAGGCCTGAGCAGGCATGGCAGGCGTTGCTCAAAAGGAAACCGCCCAAGGGGATGCAGGTGCAGTCAGGAACCCAGGAATTAAAAGGAGGAAAAGCACAAAAACCAAAAGTGGACCCCAGCATGGAGGAAAGGGGGCACAGGAAATGACCACAGGTTGAGAACTCTTGGAACTACCAAGCGTGTTCCTTCCAGAACAGAAGAGGATGGCCACGGGCGGCACCCACCGCCCCGGCAGAGAACTGAGTGCTGTACTTTGGTCAACTGGGCAGGGAGAAGGGGAAAGGAAATACAGAACACACCTCACCAGCTACTAACCTGTAAGTCTATCTAGTGTATTACTGGTTGTTTTACTTGGGTGAAAAAGAAAAGAATCCACAGTATGTATAGGGCCCTAGGTTTGATCCTCAGCACTGCAAAAAAAAAAAAAAAAGTTTCACAACTGAAAATACATTTCTAATAAAAATGATAAAGATGGCGTCAACAACAGCAGGATGTGAGAAGTAAAGCAGCCACCCCTGTCCTGTCACCTCATAAATGAGTCACGCGGCCGTGTGGGCATACTACATTTCCTGTCTAGTGTCCTTTGATATTTGGCTTTTACTCTAGAGTTTTACATGTCTTAAGCTCTATTTTCAGACAAACAATATGCTCTGTCTCTGAAGATGAACAAGGGTGTTTAATAGGCATTTCTCTACATTCCCGTGAGCCTAGCCCTTGGTAAAATGGCTTATTTGCCCTTTTAAAACCTTTACAGTCCACGTGAAAAAAAAAATAAGCAGAGAGGAATGACTTTTATAAAGAATGATTTTTATGGCTGTATCCAGGGATGACCCTATTAAGCGGATTAAGCTAGTGTAGGGAAGACAAGCATCATATGTTTGCTCTTATTTGTAGTTCCTGGACTTGATAGAGAGACATAAAATCAGTGTGTACGTGATCTCAAAGTAGAAGCCAAACTGTTCAGGAGAACAATGGGGCCTAACAGGTGGACAGCAAGGGGAGAAGAGTGTGTGTGGGACATACTCAACTGTAGGAGAGTCAGAAGAGAGTATGGGGAATGAACTCAACTGTAGCGAAGTGTCCAACCGCAGGGCCCTGTGCAATGACACACAATGAAAATGAAAACAGAACCTTTAGAACAGCGATTTTACAAAACTGCAACTAGTGTCTGTTAGATACATTTTCTATCTACAGCATGGGAGGAAGCAGCTGGGGCACTTGGGTGCTTGAGAGAGCAGTGCTCACAGAGCAAGCAGTGCTCACAGAGCAAGCACTTTACGTGCTCTGTTCCTGCAAGTGAACATTTTGCTGTGAGGGTGCTCTGACTCTTATCTGGTCCTTTATCCCCTTCAACAAAACCAGCAGAGGGGTACACATTCTGAAATCCTAACAGGTCCAGTTAGATCCTGTCTGTATCAGTCAGTCTCAGAACTACACGCCGTGTCGTACTTCTCCCAACATGAAAAGGGAAGCACTAGGTAACTGAAGGCTATAGCCTGTTAGGAGTAATCAGAACGGAGCCTCAAGAGCCCCGGGGGACAGATTCTTCTGTTAAGCAGGAAGGAAAAAGTACTTTTTATTACTGTTTTTTTAAGGGGACATTTAACACTTGGTATTTATAGCAACATTGGTCCAGGCAACCCCACATATTTCAAAGTAGCTAAGGAGCTTCTGGGACTGTGAATGGGTTCACATCTAATTCAGCATCTTTGAGATCAGACCATCACCAGCACAGGGAAGCTGTCAATGGCCAGAATGACAAATAAGTCTGTAGACCTGGGGACTTCGGTGGAGAAACAGTATCTGCACTTAATGTAACACAAAAGCAAAAGCAGTTTTAACTGCCTTCCCAGGGGACCCAGAGCATTAGGACAGTTCTCTTTGCTGCTGCTGGTCAGACCCACCGACGAGCATCTTCAGATGGTGCAACAGAGAACTATGAGTGAGCCACGGAGACACAGAGAGCCACATCTCAGTCTAAGAGCACAGTCTTCACAGGGAAAGAACGGAAGGCCGTGTGGGAGAGAAACAGTGAGTTTAGCTGTTTGCAGAGGAGCAGATGGCGAGGTGAGGGTGGTGAGGGTCTGGCTCTAAGTGAAGAACAGAGGAAATGAAGCAACATGGACGTCCTTGCTCTTCGATCACGTACAATCCAGCTGAGGGCACACAAGCACCACGTGCCATGTGACAGGGTTACTCTTCCTCAAGAGGATCCAAGAGAGGAAAATCAGACCTTCAGAATGATCAGCAGAGTGATCAGGGGCAGGCCTGTTTCTCTATGTAAACATGCTGTCTCATGCCACCTCTCATGCACAGCCACCAAAAGCAGTCCCTTATCTATGGGAAAACAAGACTCCACCCGGTGGCAGCTGGGGTTTGACCACACTTGTGTACCAATCAATCAATCAATCAATCAATCAATCATCAATGACTTGGCAGGTGATAATTCTCAGAAGTATCTTCTGGTTACCAGGCCTTAATGCCTCTCACAGACACACATCTGAAACCCACGTGAGTGTGTGGCCAGGTTCACAAGGGCAACAGTCTCTCAGGATGCTGAAAGAGTGAGCTGTATTGGGCCACGCTTCATTCTCTCTGTAACAGGCCAAGGGGCTTCACATAGAAGATGGAAGGAAAGGCCGCCCTCTTCTCTATCCACTTCCAAGTTTTCTTCCTTTCTAACGTGCGAGGAGCGCTGCAGGACTGCTCTAACTGCAGAAAGCAGCAGGTGAAAGGAGCGTGTGATCTTTGCATCGACTAAACAGGTAGCGTGAAATGTGGGTGGTGGAATCCAGTGTCTCCAGCATCCAGCTCACGTATCTCAAGGGCTCTGCTCATGGGGGCAACTGCTTCTCTCCCAACACACTGGAGGGAGTCTAGCCTCATCATTCCTGGGGTCTAATTTTTCACATGCCCATTGGGTGATTCAGTGCCTGGCTGTGGCTGTAAAGTGCTGGCGTGTGAGGGGTAATGGAAGGAAAGAGGTACATAGCCACAGAAGGGTGTTGGCCGTCATAGCAAATAATCAAGGTAGCAACAAGTGCGACACAAGTAGAAAACTAGAAGCTTTGAGACTTGGAATTCAACAAGTATGGTTTTGATCTGGCAAAGAAATAGAAAAGTAAATACAGAGGCTACCTGACAGTCTGCCTGGTAGCCCCATTTGTTTTGTATATTCTATCTCAGGGAAGCCTATGCTGAGTCTACAAATGCTGTCTGGGGAGCCATGAAAGTAGATGAGTCCCATCCTTTCCGAGGAAGCTCTGGAGACTGTCTGCCTCAATACTGTGGTAATTTGGCATCAGCCAAAGTGAAATGATGGCCAGACCTGCAACAGAGGCCACTCGCACATAACACCGTCTGTGTGTCCCAGGAAGACCTCAGTCCTTCTTGTCATCCTTTTGCAGCTGACTTTTTGTGGTTCCTAGGTTTTTCCACACCTCTGTGTACATTAAGGTCCCAACGAAGACAAACAAGGTGCCCAGCCAGTGCCACATAGTGAACTGGTTCTGGAAGTACAAGATAGAAAAGATGAGGCTCACAAACTTGCGCAGAGTCACAACTAGTGTGACAGTGAGGGAGGTACACTCTGTTGTAAGGATGAACACACCCCGGATGCACACGTATCTGGAGGAGTGGTTAAGGTTGTTCTTTGTAAACTAGGGTTTAGGTTCGAGTCCTGGCTTCAACCTGACATGCTGAGAAAACATGAAGATCACTCTGTGGACTCTTCTTAGCAGGACTTCCCAAAGGACTCTGACTCGGCCCTTCCTTGACCCATCACTATGGATTGTTGTTACAGTTTATAATGAAGGTCATCTTGAAGTGACACTCTCGGGAAGGTGATCCTACTCACCTTATCTGTCTTGTCCTCAGGCCCTCCAACCTCTCCTGGAGCTCTGTATGGCAAATCTATGTGGTTTCAGAAGGAGCAGTCAACCTCCATCTGATTCAGTGTTTTAAAGATGCCACGACTCTTATAGTAGTAAGGACCTTCTATTAACATAATTTCACCAGGAACCCAGGGAGGAATCTCAGGACAATTTCATCTCATAACATAACCAGCTGTAAGCCAACCCATGAAGTCCTCTGTGTGACCTATCTGACCTTCTGTACCGTCACTATCTCTTTCCCTTCTTCAAAGGGGCTTCATGAATGGGTCTATCCGTCTCCAGCTTACTATATAAATCAAGGCAAAACCCAAATTCATGTCCCCTACACTGTTAGAATAAACAATCTTCTGCCAAAGCAACACGGGGACGAAAATAACAGAGGACTAAAGGATACTGAGTCACAACATTCATGAGGAGGTAGAACCACATGATGGGCATTGTCACCCCGATGACTGGAACTTGGTAGAGTTCTGCAGAGGAGAAGAGAGGACACAATCATGGTGGCATGGACAGTGAAACCTTGCGTCTTTTGAACAAGGTTAGACAGGCAAAAGCAGTGACAGGAACAGCGTCATCATTTCCCTTACAAAGCGGTTAGCACACATGTCTCTTTACTTGCCTGGTTCCAGTCTATGCTAACCACAGGAGTGGAGCTCTATGGGGTTTCCCAGAATCTCCACAGACCATGGCATTAATAATGAGAAATGATGCTTTAGAATACAGTCTCATAGACTCTCTTATATACTACTTTTATAACACAATTTTAGGTCAAAAGACAGACACAAGTACAGCACAGGCAGAACAGGCCCAGTGTGGTATAAAATGCACTTACTACCTGTGCTGTGTGCAACACAAAGCCTTGCTATAAATGAGGCTTCTCTTATTGGTCACCTATCTACATAACACTTTAGACGATCAAGTTGTATGTGCGAGGTCTTTCCAGGGGACTGACCATCCACCATCAACTTACCACATAGTCACTCTAAAAAAAAAAAAAAAAAAGCAACCGCTCATCTTCATACAGACACGTCACACTGGTTTTGCTTTTTTTTTAAAAAATATTGTTTGGTAATTACATTATCTTGTTTATTTAATCTGTATCTAGGAGACAAGCTCTGTCATCATTTTGCTCCGTCTTGCTTGGCGCCAAGGCAACTGGGATCTGTGCGCAGCTCTGCCTTTCACGGCAGAAGAGAAACAGAGACAGTCGGGCTGCCACCCAACTTCCCAGGGCTCTAGTCCCAGCTGCGTACCGGGACTACTTGTTTGCACTCTCAAAACATTTAACATTCCATGTTCAAATGCAAACACACAATGCCAAAGGAAAGGAGGGCGGCAGGATAGTCTTATTCCTGGAGAATAGGAAAGCTGTCACTGCTGCAGCTACTGATTAACAGCCCCGCCTGGATGCCCGGAGGGGCAAGGGTTCAGATGAACAACAGATAAAGCTGTAGCTGAGCCAATTGTAAAAGTGAGGCTTTGCCTCAGAAGCTGGCAGGGAATCCTGCCACATGACCCCAGACTTACCAGACTTATTGAACAGAACAACGTGCTCATAAATATCAGAGGCCAAGAAGATGAACCCGGGAAGCGGAAGGGCGTGCTGTGGGGGGAAATGGATCACAGAGGTAACTACCAACCCACTGCAGCACAGATGGATTAACTCTACAATGACTCGAGCTGCCCCGTGAGCACGAAAGCCCCTCTAAGGTGAGGTGTCTAGTGCCTCTGTGCCCTCCACATCAGATGGTATGACATCTTATGGAGACTGATGGTCACCATAGAGAAAGCCAGGTAAAGGAGTAGGGTCCTTCCCTCTACAAGGGACACAGCACACAGTCATTGTTGCCCAAAAGGAGTTGCTACATATTAGATTTGGAAATTACAAGGCCCACACAGATTTTAAAGGATTTAGAAACTAGTATGAAAGAGATTTCAAGACAATCTAGACAAGAAAAAAAAATGGTGAGAAGAGGTTAGAGAGGAAGAGGACACATAAGGGCCTGACAACTGCCACCCTCCTCACTGCAACAATACAAGGGAAGATCAAGTCACAGCGGCTCTTGCTGAGCTATCACTATGCTTGGCATTGCCTTCAATGAAAGACACAAACCAGATAAAATGTTTACCCTGTAAAAATCTCCAGCCACAAACTCTAGCTCCAAGTGTATGTGTCAAACTGCCCGTTGGGATTAACCACGCCTGGGAGGAACTATCTCCGGGGCCTTGGAGGGCAGTTAGTTCTCTGGTCAGATCCCAACAGCAGTAAAGAAGGGGAGGAGGAGAGCTACAGGAGCGAGTGCCAGGTGACCCCTTACGATGAAGAAGCTCAGGGACATGCAATGATGTGAACTATCACACAACTGAAGCCCCATCCTCCAACTGCCTCACTGCTAGCCACACCCCTGACCTGTTGCTTTGGGGCTCATGTCCCCCTTCCAGCTTTCTGTCCTGGTTGGACAACTTGACCTAGAGGACCTCTGTGGGCCTTGGTCCCTCATCCTTTAAAGGTTTCACGTGGCTGATCACGATCACCTCATTATGAATACCTGTCACTCAAAGTACTCATTATCCCCCCACCTCAAGTACTTCAGTGTTCTGTCTAAAGGCTGGTTACAAATAAAAACACAATCTGTCAATTACACAGGGTTTCACTCAGCATAACATATCAAAAAGGGAAACTTCACCTGCCCAGAGTTTAAGAAACTGCTTACGTTATAAAATAGCGCCTCCTTGGAGTGTTTCCCAAACTGTCTGTACAGAGTCTCTTGGAAAATGCCCATCCTTGCCGACATCAGCAGGGCGAAGGTCAGTGCCCCAATACCTAACACACAATGATAGGTTACAAGATGCCTTTGTCCATGTTTTCTTAAGGTGACAGTATAATTTATAGTTTGGTAACTATCATAAACTACAAGACATGCAAAATTTAAAACCACAATGCTTCCACTGAATCCTCTCTGATTTCCCGTGTCCCCATCCTTACACATATTTCTGCATACTAAAGCAGGGTGAGACTGTCCACACACTTCATACCTTGCTTTTCTCAGGAGGTTCTTCTGGACTTTTCCTTTATGTCCTTTATTATATGTATATAATGTTCTTTATGTGGTTTATGTTCTGTACATCACCCTATCATGTGCTTGCATCAATGTAAATGTCTCGATATGAGACCAGTTAGATCTCTAGTTATTTTGCTGAAATCAATATACACCAAAACTTGAAATGTTATTTGTTTCCTTAGGATAAATTTTCATAAATGGAACTGCTGAGTCAGACGTTAAAAAAAAAAAACTCAATACCCAATATTTCTTGAGAAAGGCAATCGATTCACTCTGCTAGCAGCTTGTATGACAATGGCTGTTACTCTACTCTCACACAGTGACAGCGCCACTTACCATCTTGCCAAAACCGTAAGTCAAAAATTAAGTTATCATACGTGTGTGTGTGTGTGATTTCTGTATTAAGAGAGTATAAAATTACACAACATTAATTTTTCCCAGGAATTGTATGTTTGTATGCTTTGAGAATTTTTCCATTGAGTACTTTCCTAACAGTACAGAGATCTTTGCTTCGAAGAACAGTGACTAAAGGGTTAATTAATGTCCAAATCTCAGATAAGGAGGGCACTCTCTCCTGTTATCTTCTTCTACCCAATCAGTGTTAGCCTGCTCCTGTTCCTACCACAAACACTGGAGTGTCCCCTCCAAACCCATGTGAGGATGAGGCCCTGGAGGAGCTGTCTAATTAACTCCACACAGAGATACTTGTATTTTTAAAAATTCTCATGAGAGTTGACTTGGGAACACTGCCATATGGAACACGTAACTTATGTAGAAAATAAGCCCAAGAGTTAGAAATGTATTCCTGGGAAATTTAGAGTCAATAGTTGTAACACACCCTTCTTTCACAGGTCCTTCTAGACTGCGGACTGGACATGAAGAAACAGAAGACTCCCTCCACAGTAGTCCTGAGGAGAATGGTAGACTTTTCTCTCTTGTGCCAGTGACAACCATGGGAAACATGGACCTACACAGAACACGATGCCTAAAGAGTCAACACTAGCCTCCTAATTTTTTGAACACTAAGGTTCAGAGATGTATTGATCCCAAGTGCCACTCTCCTCCTTGGCATAATTAGTTTAGCCTAAACTTCTTGCCAAGAAACATGTCCCACAGGAGAAGACTCAGCAAACATAAGTGCAGAGGTAATTAGCTTTTTGTAAATACTGTACTTGCCTAGTAACCACCACGCAAATGCCTGGAATCCATCCTTGTCACTCAAGCCGGACTGGACGGTCTAGGGAATAAGAAAGCACACTGTGTACAGGCACCAGAACTGCAACGGCGTGCTGAGATGCAGGGGGAGTGTCTCTGCTGCCCACTGCCTCCCGTTCCTCCCTGAGCTGTGTCCTTGTATTACGTAAGCACTCTTAATTCCTTTCATAACTCATAGGTGCCCAATAACGGGTCCCAATGACAAGTAGTGAACAGAAACAATTTAAAGCTGATTCTTACCACTTGCTTTGCTGACATGAAAGTGCAAATAAATATCCCTGCAGACACCAGGGCAATGGAGGTATACTTGAACATACTGTATCTGAAAAATAAGGACAAGATACCTTAGGAAAGGAGACACCGTCTAATGGGATCTACCACCAGACAACATGTGATTCAAGTACAAAGATCTTTAGTACCACTGGGGGATACTCTCCAGCAGTTGTCTTTAACGGTTTGTTGACCAGCAGACTGTTTTATCAGAAAATAAAAAAGAAAACAAAACCAGAAAACAGACACACACCAGATGTCACATGACTCTGCATTCTGCTCTGCAGAAACTAATAATGCAACTCGCCCAGGCTTCACCAGTATCTGTGGCCTTCCCAGGCCTGAGAACCCAGAATTGAGTGTTCATACAGATACTATTCAAGAGGAACAAGAGATTATCAAATACAAGAGTCAAAACTTGGGGGATAATGTCCATTCTCCAGGAAAGGTATTTCATTAAAAACAATCTGAATAACTTAAATGGTTTTGTAAAATGTAGGCAATGCTGGATAAAGGGAGAAATAAAAGATTCATAGAGAGCAACATAACCGGTGACATGTTCCATTAACTAAAACTGTATCATTATGATCTCCTCAGAGTCTTGGTAATCGAGGAAAAGGACCCAGGAAGGATGAAAAGAAATTAAACTCACAGAATGAATCACCATTTCTTTCCTACTCCAGTACACTGTACCTTCTGGTTACAATGGTTACAAAACCTCATCAAAGGCTGAATGGCTATGAGGCTGAGAGAGGGATGAGAGGAGTTCACTACAGAGAAGTGAGGTAAGGAATGGAAGGGGCTGCTCGGGAAGAGGGCTTAGCAGGAGCGGGAGATGAACAAGAGGGCACAGGGATGGACACAATCAAAATATATTCCATCTATCTATCTATCTATCTATCTATCTATCTATCTATCTATCTTATAATATATATAATGTATATAGTTAGTTGCATATAGTTAATATATGTTAACAGAACCTTATATAAGAAATATATTTGAAAAAATATATAAAGTCTGATGTATAAGAAAATAAGAAAATGCCGGGCGGTGGTGGCGCACGCCTTTAATCCCAGCACTTGGGAGGCAGAGGCAGGCAGATTTCTGAGTTCAAGGCCAGCCTGGTCTATAGAGTGAGTTCCAGGACAGCCAGGGCTACAAAGAGAAACCCTGTCTCGAAGAAAAAAAAAAAAGCCTGGAACACAGTTTGGTGGCAGGATATTTTCCTAGCATGGATAAGGCCCTGGGTTTAATCCCCAGCACGAGGGAGGGAAAGGAGGAGGGAATGAAAAGGAGAACGAATATAGAGATGTTAGAGAAACTCCTGTTCTGGGAACGGTCAAAGGCTCAGAGTCAAGATAACAGATTCCAAATACACTCTTAAGGGAAACAGATGCTGAGAAGAACCCCTGACAGTGTAAGACTATAGTGTATAGTCAGGGGACTATAATGCTTTACATATAAATGTGTGTGTGTGTGTGTGCGCGTGTGCGTGTGCGTGTGTGTGTGTGTACTCTTATTATGAACCAAATCAAAGCTTAGGGAGGAATACAGGTCTGTTCCAAGATTAACTCTAGCTACCAACAAGTATAGTCTTCATCTTAAACAAAAAACCTGGCTGTTGACTATGTATGCTTAAAGCAGAGAGGACTGCAAAGAACCCACAGGCAAGAGAACGCATCTGGGGACTTCACAGCCTCTGGAGATACAGGACACAAGAAGAAGCCTATCAAGATAGGACACTTGTCCTTGTTTTGATATAGCCCTTGTTACCTAAATACTGTAGGTTCTAGACAAACAGGTGGATGTGGTGATGTATATCTTTAATCTAGAACTTGGGAGGCAGAGACAGGTGGATCTCTGTGGGTTCAAGGCCAGCTGGTTGACATAACTAAGTGCCAGGCAGCCAGGGTTACATGAGACTGTCTCAAAAACAAAAACAAAACCCCTTAAGGTTCTCTCTCTGAACAGGCAGATTCTTCCCCAGCCTAGAGAGCCCTAATACCGAGAGACTAGGAACTGGTATTGAATTGAAACCATGGCATCACTTGCACAATTTTGGTTTTAATTCGAAGGTGACTTTGCTGTTAGAAATCCTGTAGACTCTCTACTGTCTCCCTAACATCCCTTCTCTCTGGCAGAAAAGAAGGCCTGAGGCTCAAGGGGCATGTGGGTACTTTGAAAACCCATCCTAGGCTGTTTCTGTCATTTCCTACCCATGTCCTACCACACCACTGGCCACAGTTATAAAGAATAACCCTAAACCTTCTGCTCCTTCTTCATGTCTATCTGGGACTTTGCTGGGAATTCTCCTAGCATATAAAATTATTCCCTGATGAGCATCTTATGTGTGGTGAGTTTGCAGGTTAATAATAAGAGTGTTTGCAGCACGCATGAGGCCCTGGGATTTAGCACCAGGAATGCCAAGAATAAAAATAAAATGGACAACAAAGCACTTTCTAGAACAGCTGCCCCTCAGACCTGCCATATACTCCCTGGAAATGCTCCAAGTCCACACTGTCCAATATGGTTGCCATTTGACATGCATGGCTGATCAGTGTTTAAAATGCAACTAGCTAAAGTGGGAAATACTGCATTTTATTTCGCTTAGATAATTTTAGGTTCACATGTGGAGTCACATGTGGCTAACGGTGATCATACTACACAGGGAAGTTCTATGTTGACTAATTTTAGTTGGCAAAGCACTGAAGATCCAGTGATAACAAGAGTGACTGGCCCCACAGGAAGCCACACCGAGAGCCTCTGACCTGGTCAGTTGCCATTGGAAAATCATTATTACCCATGAATCTTAGAAAAGAACCCAGGAAAAGGCTGATGGCCAAGAGGTGTCCTATCACCACCGTGGGAAGAAGGAAGGTGAGTAGTACACAGAGGTGACCTGGAGTGTCACTTCTACACGCAGGACATGAAGGTGTGCCGTTACCTTTTCTTCAAAATGATAATTCCTAGAATCATGTTGGCAATCAGAGAGCCCTGTAAAAGAAGACAAGGGTGGAAGTTTTAGTGCACTAGGGAAGAAACCATCACAATTCATGTTGGGTAGGAAAACATTGGGTGAAGGATGAACAGTCACTAAGACAAAATAAAATAAAAATCTGTCCTGTGAAATAATAAAATCATTGCAAGATACAATATGAATAAAAATCATCAATTCTCGGGGCTGGAGAAATGGCTCAGTGGTTAAGAGCACTGGCTCTCTTCTAGAGGTCCTGAGTTCAATTCCCAGCAACCACATAGTGGCTCACAACCATCTGTAATAAGATCCAATGCTCTCTTCTAGCATGCGGGTGTACATGCAGAAAGAGCACTCATAAGCATAAAATAAATAAGTCTTTTTTTTAAAAAATGTGAAAATTGGTCAATTCTCACTAAAGTCATAAATAAAGTATGACTAATGGGGTTAGGTGATATCTGAGACCTACTCCTGTCAAATTTTCCAAGTATCTAATGTATACAACTTCTAGTGAGCTTTCCCCCAACCTCCATTCTTAATAAAGAGAGGCATGCTGGGATCTCCCTCTCCTCTAGAAAGGTGTCAGTCAACCAAGTGGTATGTATCAGTTTATTGAGGATCACCTCATTCACTGTAATTATTTCATGGGCGTCCCTGTAGGAAAAGGATTCTTAATCCTACCGAAGTCTCAGGCAACACGACAATGACATTCTGGTCAGCACCTACTTTGCAGACTGCTGCAACTCCACCTACATGTTCCTCGATGTCTGTCCTGCTCTTCTGGGAGCACGCAGCTCTTTCTCATACCCTAGCTACAGAGACAGCCCGTCATACATGAGGTGATGAGGAAGATGGGTTCTCACTGAGTGAGACACTCCTCATCAGCAACTGTCCTGCCAGGTGTGGTGGGACGAGCCCATAATCCCAGCACTGAGGAGGCTGAGGCTGGAGGATGGAGAGTTCTAAGCCAGCCTGAACTACAAAGCAAAACACTGCAAGGCAGAGGGTGAGGGAAAACAAAAACAAAACTTGGACAGTAAGCAGGGGCTCAAGAGCAGCCAGGGGAAGGAAAGAGGAAGTAAATCTATTTCCCACAGAATTCTTAATTTGATTAAAAAGTATTATTAAAGCCATATATTTATCCTGAGCCAGCCACTGTCTTCTTCCCTGGTCTCTCTGTGCCTCCCACTGCAGACGACAGCCATGCATCCTTGTTCACACTGTGAGCAGACGACAGCCATGCATCCTCGCTCACAGTGTGAGCAGATGACAGCCATGCATCCTCGCTCACACTGTGAGCAGATGATAGCCATGCATCCTCGCTCACACTGTGAGCCGGCAGCACTTACGGATCTGAAGATCATATGCAGCGGCATGGCAATGTTCAGATTCAGGGCATAGTTGTTCACCACGCTGACAGTGAAGAACATGGTAACCATGATGGCATAGTACCTGCAATGACAGAGAACACACCACACAGATCCACTCTTTCAAGAAACTCTGATATAGAAGGAAATATATCGATTTGGTTTATAAGACATTCGGAGTACAGAGAACCATTATCACATAAAGTCAAATATGTAAGTACATGTACAAATACTTCACAAAGTCAGACTCGCATGGGGAAAGTCTGAATTACTGACTATGTTTAGGGAAATACTTGAATATTTTTCAAATAACTTAGAACTAGGTTTTACAAATATTGCCTAACCAATAGCAAGAGAGTTTAAGTGAACAGATAATTCTTTTTAATATTTTATTTCTTTGTAGATACACTTCATAGGGCCCTGGAGAATAACTACTTTAAGTATATCCTATACAAATATGTATATAATATTATTTTTCTTAATTTTGAAAAAAACAGACCCCAAAGATTTGCTAAGTCAAGATTATGTTCAGCCTAGCCACTGTGACAATTATTTTAGAGCCAGGAGACTCTAAAATAAAGAAGCTACCCCTTGATTTAGAATAGAATTTATACTTAAACAGAGAATTTTATTTTATTTTATTTTATTTTATTTTATTCTATTTTATTTTATTCTATTCTATTTTATTTTTGAAAGACAAGGTCTGTTTGTGTAGTTCTGGGTGGCTCTGTAGACCTCTGCCTCCTAAATGCAGGGATTAAAGGTGTGTATACCACTACCTGGACAGAGTCTTTGTCATTTCAGAATTCATAGGTCTTAAAATTAAGATAAAAATTAAAATAAAAAAAACCCCTAGGGATTAGAGACGAAGCTCCATTAGCAAGAGTGACTTGCTTAGTATGGATGAGGCCCTGGGTTGCATTGCCAGTGCCACATAAAGTAGGGAAACAGGAGGATCGGGAGTTCCAGGTCATGCTCAGCTCCACCTCAAGTCTGAGACTACCTAGAGAGACTAGAAAACTCCTACAGTCATGACGTAGACAGGAAAGGGATACATGTAGTAAGTACATGGATACTATGGGTAAGTAAGGTCAAGTAAATAGATGAAAACATTTTATATCTGTATGTTTTCATCTTCTCCTAGGAAGTAGTCAAGATAGTTTTCAATATGGTTATATCAACTTGTCATTGTTCTTGAAGGTCAAGGGATTAAATATCAGCAATTTCACAACTCATGTAAAAATATTTTTAAAACTTTAAATAAATGGCTAAATAATCTAGAGCAAAAGTAAACGATGGTTCTGTATTGCTCATAAAATATTCACCCTTGGGCAGATTTCTGAACAGTTTTGTATCTGCACATCTGAAGAATAAAACAACCCTGAGCCCACGTTACCCTTTTCTTTTGTTTCTGGTTAGATATGGAGCAGGACACACAGCCCACTGAGTAAGCACAGCCCAAGCTGTGTTAACTGTCTGAGGAACTTGACAACCAACATAGAGAAGGATGCAACAGGCATGCCAGACCGCTAGTGTCGGCCTCCTCACAACCTCTAAGTCACATCTGTTAGTCAGCTTACAAGGCTTCTTGCCAAATGTCCTCATGACGAGATACCACTGGGAAACAGTGTTTATCAAGGTCTTTCAGGATAATTAATTTAATTCTTCCATGTGGCTACTTATATAACACAGCTTAGAAACTGTTTGTGGAGATGAAAGACCTAAGTAAAATAAAATAATCACTCTAAGGGGATATGCTAATGAAGACGAGATCATGGGGGACTTAACGGCAGCAAGAGGGACAACGTGCAATAATGACATGGTAGAGGCGGGACGGACATGGTGGCATACACCTTTGATCTCAGCACTCAGGAGGCAGAGACAGGTGAATCTCTGTGAGCTCCAGGGCAGCCGTGGTTAGACAGTGAGAGGACAAGGTAGAGGCTGAAATGGGGGCTTGGGCAAGAGGAGACGGTTTTACCAGCAGGGATGCTATTATATATATATTATGTTATCACCAAATACCCTGCTCCAAGAAAACAGGGGTGGGAGGGACTTGAAGACTCAAAGGAGTTTTTTAAAAAAAAAGATGATCAGATTCCTACTGTGATATAAATGCTAGCCTGCAGGAACAGATAGTATCCCCATACACATGCAGACAGTAAACCCAGAGGAAAGTGAAATACTTAGTATTACAGTAACAAAAACTTAAGGTTAATATTAGCAAAGTTCAGCAAGCTATGAATGAGGGCAGCAAAAAACCAAGGATGAGCTTGGAGACAATCACATGGGAATGCCACTCCCAAGGAACCTGAGTGACACCACTCTCCTGAACACTTGCTACTAGGAGGACACCTCTATCAAGTCGTCCCACATGAGAACAATAGCATTTAGCCTGTAGACTCCTGGACTGATAGATGGAGGGCTGGCATAAACAATTTTCTCTTAATTCACACAACAGAAAATTACCCATTGGTGAGCAAACAATTCAGTGACATTTAGTGACTTGCTATGCTGTCATTGCTTCTTTATTTCCAAAAGCCAATTATTTCCAAAATGCTTGACAATCCCACTCTTAGCATAATCAACAAAGGACGCATACATAACTATTGTGGTCACCCTAGTCCTTCTGACTCCGTATTATGCACATATACACTTACCTCCATCGCTGCTATTTAAACGCAGTGGGCAGGAGTTTTATTCTAAAAATAGCTTTCCAGACTGTAACAATGTAATTCATGAAATTCATGTCTCCATTGTTACCGAAACTTGAGAAGCATGCAGCTCACACTTGTTTGGGTACTGCTTTTCAGGTTTTAAAAGGACTCAACAAGACTGAACGTGCCATACCTTATCGGGATAGCTGGTGGCTTCCTTCCCAAGTCAGCTTCAAAAAGGAAGCCTTCCACAGCAATAAATAAGAACTGTGCAAACGTGACAATGTTCCCGCATCCTGGATGTGTCCTGCACAGCGAATAACGGAGAAAAAAATAAGGCAAAGACTCAGTTAAAAGGCACTACAACCTGTTATGTTTACAGCACCAAAATAATAGAGTGGGTAGATTTTGACAGCTACTGACTGTCCTTCCTCATCTTGGCTCTCAAATCCAATGGATCACACTGGCCAGGTGATGACAGGGGTGTGGCTTTTGACTATCCTCAATGAGTGAAAAATAGTTCTTGGGATGGGAAAGAGGCTTGCTATTTAAGTAGGGCACAGATACATGTCTGTACATAAATCAACATAATTGTGTAGCTATATAAGGGTGATTAAGAAAAACCATCAAAAATGGGTTCTGGGGCTGGGACAATAATTACAAATTACTGAAGAATACTGCTATAGCACATTGCAGTTCTCCACAACCCTTACTGTGGTAAGTCAATACATTAGACAGTCAAGAGATATATCTGGAATTCAACAGATCCTTTTCAGTGCTCTATGGAAGAGCTGGGAGTCTTCCACGGTGACTATTAGGAACACATACCATAGTATGAACACATGTCAGACAGTAATTTCTGACATCTCTCTTGAGACACTCTGAAAATCAGTCACATGAAATGTTGACGGCTTTCCTGAACCGCCCCTCCCCCATTCTGTTCTCTCACTAAAGATGTCCCAAGTGAGCATCCAAACTTCCCCTGAGACTAGGATTAAATGGCTTTAGAATCTGTCTTCATCTTAACCCAAGACACTCACATGACACCACTGAACAGAGGCTCATTAAAGAAATTATATATCAATGCAGTGCTATTAAAGTCAACTCCATTCTCTACTGGTGCTAAGAATACTGAACACTAATGGCAAGATATACAAATTCAGCACGGGGGCCTCGAACATGCTAGGTGTCCTAGTTAGGGTTACTATTGCCGCAATGAAACATCATGACCAAAGCAACTCGGAAGAAAAAGGTCTATTGGGCTTACATATCCACATCACTGTTTGTTACTAAAGGACATCAGGGCAGGAACTCAGAGCAGGAATCTGGAGGCAGGGACTGATGCAGAAGCCATGGATAGGTGCTGCTTACTGGCTTGGCCCCATGACTTGCCCAGCCTGCTTCCTTATAGAACCCATGACCACCAGCCAGGGGACAGCACCATCCACAATGCACAGGGCCCTCCCTCATCAATCACTAATTAAGAAAATGCCCTACAGGTTTATCTACAGTCCAATCTTATGAGAGCATTTTCTCAATTGAGGCTCCCTCTTTTCCAATAACTTCAGCTTGTATCAAGTTAACATAAAACTAGCCAGCACACTAGACAAGCACTCTACCACTGAGCTATATCCCCAGTGCAAACCCTTAACCACACTGCTCATGCACAGTAACAGGCCAGGAACACACCATTCTACCACAGCTAGGCTTGTCATCCGAAGCAGACACAGTGCTGTACTTAAAGCTTTGCTGCCTAGGAAGGTTTCTCAAAACCCACTGCTTTAGACACAGTTCAACAATTTGTCTTTCAGAGTTACCTGGTTCAAGAGACAAGGCCAAACTTTGTAGGAATCCATAAATGATTGTGTAAGACATTCATCTCATTCAAGAATCTAATTAAAACCATTAGTCAATACAAGAGAGCAGACATTTAACTCTAGACGGTCCCCCGTACAGTGCTAGCCAATTCTGTCCTGGCTGATCTCTGGGAATCCATGTGTCAGGCTGAGCATGGCAGGGCAAGCATTGTGGGTGAGTGAAGCGATATTTTCTCAAAATGGTAAGAAAAAAAAAAGTAAAGGGGCCCGGGATATAGCTCAGTGGCTCTGCCGAATACTTGTTTAGCATAGAGGAAGCACTGAGTTCAATCTTCAGTACTGTGAGTGAGAGAGCAAGCGAGTGAGAGAGTGAACAAAGGAAGGAAGAAGCCATGTGAAGCCCGTTCCTGGAGAGGTTCACTCTCCTAGAACTGATTTCACTGTCCTGGGGTGGGACCCTGGGAATTTAGACTTTCAAGGGCTCCCCTACTAGATCCTCATGGGGAAAGGGTGTGCCTGTACTTGTGCATGCAAGAGCATGTGTGTTCTGTGTGTTTGTGGTGGCACAGAGCCAAGAACAATGGTGCTCCATGGTGTTTCCTGATGACATGCAAGAGCACCTTTGTCACTTCTGTGTGGTATGGAAGCTAGTAAACTTCTAAATCCCATTTTCTTTAAAATGGGGACAATGGGAGTGCTTATCTCTCTGGTTTATTGTTGCACAGATGAATAGGTCCCATAAAAGCACTTAACACAGTCTCTGCTACATACTAGAAAGGCAACTAGAACCAGGAAGATGACCAGCCTAGGCTCCTACACAGAGGTCTTCAAAATAGTGACAGCTGTCTTTTCTCTGCTCCTCTTTTTCTGTGTGTGTGTGTTTATGTGCATATGTGTATTGTGTGTTTGCGTGTGCCTATGGATGTTTGCATGTGTGGGAATGTAGTTGTGGACATGTACATGTATGTGTAAGCCTGAGGTGCCAAGGTTGATATCCAGAATCAGCCTTAATGGTTCTTCGACCTCATTCACTAAGGCAGGCTCTCTCAATCAAGACTGGAACTCAGAGAGATGGCCAGCTTGCTCTGGGATCACCTGTCTCTGCCTTTCCAGGCTGGAATTACAGGAATTTTATGTGAGTTCTGGGCATCTGCACTCTGGCCCTCACTCTTGTACAACAAGCACTTTAACCATGAGACATCTCCTCAGCCCAAAAGTTACCCTTTTAAACAATCACACTAGACACCTTTTTTTTCCCCTTGATAAAATGGGAACTATATGTTCTGGCCATCAGAATTCAATAAGAAAATATACATCAAGTGCCAAGCACCACTCTGGAGTATCAACACTTCTCTGGCTTTCCCTTCTATTTTCTACTAAAAGGTTGGGCCAAAGCCCTTACACAGTAGTTACTGGGAAGCCACTCTGCCCAGTGAGAAAGGGCTCCTAGTGGGCATGAGCTGGATCTCTGCCCTTGAGAAAAAGAAAAGCAACATCCAGGAGCCAAGCATGAACTATAGACAGCAAGGACACAGCACCATCGTGAAAAGTTCAGAGGGTGGACCTTGTCCCTTTCATCTGTGTACACACACACACACACACACACACACACACACACACGCTCAAGAAAAGGAGGGCAGAGAAAAAGACAGCTGTCGCTATTTGAAGACCTCTAACTGTGTAGGAGCCACTTGGGACAGAGTCTGGCCTTCACTCAAGCAAGTCAATGGGGTGGAGAGGCCTCACTTTAAGCCAATGTACTCTGGCATATTAGCATTTGTGCAAAAGATTTTAAAAGTTTAAAAGGTTTACAATTGTATCCTTCATATGATCTTTGCTATTTACCTTTACTTATCCATATTTCATGGCTAAGGACATGGAGGTCACATGTTCTGTGTTTGGTTGGACTTCATGGCAAATGACTAGGGTTGGTATATCACTGCTACTATTACCAGGCTTTAGATATGCAACCATTACTACCATCTAATTTTTGGGCACTGTAGCAGCTTATTTTCCCGAAAGTTGGGAGGAGTTAAGGTGGGAGGAGTAAGGCAAGGAAGAGGAGGAGTAAGGAGAGGACGAGGAGAAGGAGGAGGAGCTAGGGAGCAGAGATGTAGGAGCCATGGATGACCACGCATGTACCGAGAGCAGTCCTGGGTAATAACTTATATCTAGGTTAGTTAATTGGTTAACAGTTCCAATTGTGTGGTCATCTTGTTTATGAGCATTATCAAACTTATAATGCCTTTGGATAATCTAAGCATTAGAGTCTCATTTCTACGAGTACCGCATGGATGGCGGAATGGTCTGGGCCCAGCCCAGCCCTGTGGAGACAGCGTGGAAGATTGGCAGAGCCATCTCCTATGCTGGCATCTCGTGGGTGGCAGGGCTGGTGTCTCTGGCTGCCTGAGCCAGCACCCTGAACTGGTGGCCTGACCCGCTGCAGCAGCAAGAACACACCACTGCTTGTGACCTCAGGCCTTGTCTAGTCAGGAAGATGGCAGCTGATTAAGAACAACCAAGATTGGGTGCCGCCGGTTTTATATATCTCCCGCATAAGAGTACCCCAGAAGAAGTCTTACCAGGAATCATGTTCCTGTTCTCCCTCCCATAGGGTCCTCTGCTAACTCTATTCTTTTTTGTCTTTCCATAGGAGGTGTATGATGCATTCCTATGATCTGACATTCGGCACTCCTTTAAGCTAATCCAGAGAGCATTTTAGGTACACACTGCTGGCATAGCTCAAAGGGTGTGGTTCTTTTAACTGGAATGATTTGCTTTAAAGCTTCGAAATAAAAATTTGAAATGTTTTCCCAGAACCTTTCCTTCTCTTAAACTTTATTTAAGACTTATAACTGTTGCTGGGCAGTGGTGGCACACGCCTTTAATCCCAGCACTTGGGAGGCAGAGGCAGGAGGATTTCTGAGTTCAAGGCCAGCCTGGTCTATAGAGTGAGAGTGAGCTCCAGAACAGCCAGGACTATACAGAGAAACCCTGTCTTGAACCCCCCCTCCCCAAAAAAAAGACTTATAACCATTAATTGCAGACACCTTCTCTTACTTGGGATTTTCTTTGGCAAAAAAATCAAATTTCAATGTAAAAGAAAAAACAAATCAGAAACTTTGAAGGGAATGACTCAGGCAGACATTTATACCTCCTTTCTTTCTCTCTTTCTTTCTTTCTTTCTTTCCTAGACATAAAACTTTCTTATTTAATTCAACGTCATGTTTTAAAGAGAAAAATAAAATGTCAAATATTGTTATCCTGATGTTAAGACACATGATACTTTCCCTGCTTCATTAGCTGTGCATGAGTGTATGTACAGCACATACATGAAACATATGTATCATGCTTTCAAGGTTGAGCATAAGCACCTTAAGAAGGGAATCAATATCTCACTTATTATTGTGTAGCTGCTTAGGCAGTACACAAGGTTTGTACTTTATCACTGGCACCAATTATAGGTCTATAAAAGTCAGCAAGAAGAAACTGAATCTGTTTTTCAATTCAGAAAATGGCTCCCTTCTTTCAACAAGTCATTCAGCCTTTGCATTTAGAGTGACATCTGAGTGTTCCAAGGAAGCCATTTAAAAAGCACAGCTCCTGCTCTATAATAAACTTTCTATGCTAATTCTTTAAAGCCACAAATTTCAAGATCATATCTAGAAGGAACTTTAAAGACTATCCGGCCTAATCAGGTCGGATTTCACTGCTCTGCAGTGGGAAGTCTGAGCTTACTTAAGGAAATCAGGTACACGTTGCTATCAGTCTAATGTTCTATACATTGTGTTAATAAGCTCACTTCCTTACCTCCTAAGGAAAACTCTCAGTTGTGCACAAAAATGCGGATTTCCAAAAGAGGTTAAAATAAATAATTCAGATTCATTTACAAATTGGTCCTAATAAAATTCTAAATAAAAGTTCCTACAAAGAATGAAAAGACTATAAAGAGAAATGTATCCATTTCTGGATACATACAGAACCTTTCTGGACACAACAATGTATGTCTGTACTGAAACAAATTGTAAGGGAGAAGTCAAGGGGAGCGACAAGTGCAGCAAGCGTTCCTCATGCATCTCATTCAACCCTTCAAAACCCATGGGCATGAAGGGAGTTATCACACATCCTTATGATGGTTGAAAAAGTGTTTTAGCCAAGAGCTCCTAAGCCAGAACACACAGGTTTCACATGATTTAGTGGCATATTCAGTGCAATTACCTGACTTTGTTTCTATAGCTGTTTCTTTGTTTCACTTTCTTATTTAAAAAAATATTAAATATATTGAATTCCAAAGTCTCCTTCCTTTGAAGTATACCCAGAAACTTTCTTTTTCATTTCCATATTCCTATCCACTCCTAAGACAATCCATCTTCAACACTCTGTATAATAAACCAGTAAGCTCCTATCAGCAAACAATAACCCATACAGAGTTGACCGTGAATACTTCAGAAGGACTTAAACCAACAGTATCAAATAGAATACATTTCTATCAGACATCACATATGTTCAAAACTCAAGCTCAAAAACGAAAGGGATCTAGAAATGTTACTGGGCTACCAGCTTAGACAGACTCCATTGCTTGCTCTGCCACTTACAAATAGTGAAAAGATGCCCTACTTTGCATCTTGTTGCACTTTCAGCAAAACAATGTAACTTAGTCACAGGGTTGTTCAGATAGTCAAACCGACACAGTATATAGATTCAGCAACATGTAGCTAGCTACTCTGAACTGAGATAGTATTGAAGTGCCTGAAAAAGGAGACCCAGAGAAGCTAAGTAACTGGCCAAGGTTATATTGCCAGAAGAGCCAAATCTGAAACTACTATCTCTAGCTGTTTTGTCCTAATCGTTTTCCAGTTCACCTCCTGTCTCTTTTCTAACTTCTGCCTACTGAACTTTGCACATTATTACCCAACATTATTTGTAAGACACCACCACAAAGCCAACTCTGTTCCCAAGCTATACTTCAAAGTGCACACTTCTCAACTAAAGGCTGTAATGTGCAAAATGCTCAGGGACCATGGTGACAGCTCAGTAGTTATCTGCACCACATCACTCACCTGAGTCAAGCCAAGTGCTCACAGTCATCTATCTCTACGACCAATAAAAACAAATGTTTTGCAAAACACACACAAACGAAACTTTCTTTGCAACGTGGACAAAACAGGACTGTGAGAAAGTTTTGCTCCAGACAAACACGTGTCATTCATTCATTAACCGGACAGCGAAAGATGCTAGAGTTGGATGTGTAGTAGGGAGAGGGGGCTCCTTGAGACCTAGGATCAGTCACGTGAGAAAGTCTCCAGGTTTCAAACTCCCAAAGTGTGGCATGGAGATGCCGACAGCAGCACCTTGGATGTTCCTGTCACCTGGATGCTAACGAATGGAGGAGTGCCAGGGCTGTGGAGTAGCTGACTGCGTGGGCATCCGGTGCAACGGAGTAGGGAGGCGGCTAGAGGGAGCAGCCCCTAGAATCCGGGCGCGGCCCGAGAGGGTCACTCACCGGGCCAGTAGCTCTAGGAAGATCACATTACTGCAGCAGCCTGCGAACACCAGGCCCACCGCGAAGGCCGGGCGCATGGCCGGTACGGGGCACGGGGAGCCAGCGCGCAGAAAAAAAAGCGCCCTTTCAGATCGCTACCCTAGCAAACCCGCGCGCAACATCACCACCGACAGCTGTACCCTCCCTGAGGGCCGTCTTAATCAACTCTTCCTCCGCGGCTGCCACGGACGCGGCCAAATCAGGAGCTGTAGTTCTCAGTTATACCCGGTCCCATTCATTTGAGGGGGCGTCCAAGGGCTGTTCAAACTACATGTCCCAGCAGACCACGCGCCTTTACGGCAGGCGTGGGTAAAAAAACCAGGCAGAGTTTCCGCGAAGCCTCGCGTGAGCCGATGTCGCACTGCCTTCTGGGAAATGCAGTCCCAATGATGTTCGTGTTCGGTACCAGGGGTTTCAACGAGATAGCTTGTGTGCTCTAGACCTATGACTTACTCATTAGAGTATTCTAGCATCTGAAACTGAACGAATGTAGAAATTCCTGTAAAATCTAAGCGACTTCTAGGAAAACAGCGAACTTAAAAGTTTTGAGATTGAGCCTTGGCTTGAACTGCCAATTTAGAGCATCGGCTTAGTACTCCACTCTCATCATAGGGGAAGACAGGCCTGTCTTACTACTTGTTGCTGTAGAAAAGACTAGTTGTGATTTCTGTGGAGGCATCGAGCACATATCGTCTTGTGCTGGCATTTTACCAGCTTTAAGCTGCTCATTAAATATTGAAATTAACTGATAAAAGGTGTTCCTTTCGACATAGTTTTTGTTTCTAGTCTCCTTTCAAAGACAGACGTTTCCAATTTCTGAATGCATTGGTGTTTATTGAAAATATAAAGTTCAGGACCACACATAAGAGTTGTAATTCAGAAAAATCTGAGGCTAGCCTCAGCAACTGTCACTTAGAGCATTGCTCGTCCCAGGATTCTGATAAGATCTCTGGGTCACAAACTAGGGAAACCAAGGCAAGTCTGTTGTGAATCTTGAGGAAAACTTCAGAGTGTTTATGTTTATCTCCTAATTAAGGTCATCCCCTAATTTGTCTCCCATCCTGTGGTATCAGTGCTGGTGTAATTACATATATGAAGGGGCACAGTACTGAGCAGTAGCACTAATCTTACATAATAGAAAGTGGGAAATAGGGCTGTTAATTCATTGCATCTATCAAAAACCGGTCTTGCTAGGTATACAAACAGAACACAAAAGCACTGGCCTATGTACATAGTTGGCGGACACCACGCAGTCTTTTTTTCTATTACTGTTGAATAGAAGTAAACACCAAGAGGCTCAGTAACAGACGTCATGAGACTCCAGCTGAAGAAAAGGGGGCAAGTGTTTTCGTTCACCACTTAAATGATGGTATGGGTAGGTTTGTTTTGCCTGCATGTAATCTATGCAACATGTGTGTTCTGGGTGCCCTCAGAGGACAGAAAAAGACATCAGATCTAGAACTGGAGTTACAGAGGTTGTGAGCATGAGTGCTCCAAATTGAACCTGGGTTCCCTGCCAGAGCAGCCAGTGCTCTTAACCACAGAAGCATCTTTCCTGCCCAGGTATGGCTAGTTTTGGCTGGAGTGCTTGAACATTGTTATCCTCAGAGTTTCCCCAGGTGATTTCTGCTGCTGAAGTTGAGAGCTGTTGAGGGAGGGAAGGAAAGATTTAAAGGGTTGTGATCAGTGACATCAGCAGGTCATCTTTAAGGTGTCATCTCAGCCTGATTAGACCGAAATCCTTAGGGAATGGGACCAAGTATCGAGTGACCTTGAAACTCGGAGGCTGAGAAGTATCCCATCACTTAACTCAGTTCTCAAGCCTGGCTACATAATAGAGTCACATGAGAGACTTTAACAATGTGCTGAACCAGAAAACCAAGCCCAGAAATATCAGAGCCACTGCCAACCAAATAAAGAAGACACCCAAGTTTGATGTGTAAGCAATGACATCTGTAGATGCTTCTGCCTAGAGAAGAGTCGAGCCTTAGCTCTGATTGGACTGGAGATTATTTCACAGGAGACAAATCTTCACTTCCCATCTACCCCACCCACTCACACACCAAGCTTGGGGGCACTTGAAGGGTGTTCTAATCAACCCTTCTGTGTCTCAGATAAAAATCAAAGCAGGCTTAAGTAAATTAACAAGGAGAGAGCATGAGTGTCTGCATATGCTCTGAATCTTCCTCCATATTTCTGTCTTAACCTAACCCAGGTTTTAGTAATAACATATTCACTATACATATTGATGACCCGGGCTCTTGTTCAAATGCTGATTCTGGTTCTCTAAGGTGAAACACAGGTTATACATTTCTAACAAGCTTTTAGTTAGTGTCAGGTCTCTTAGTCCAGGAACCACACTCTAGCGAGCAGAAGCCTATTCATTAACTCACTCCAGAGACTGCTCTATTCCTGCCTTCACTGGCTCAGAGAATTCAGGCCAACAAAACTATCTGTGAGTCCCTCCTTCTCCTTAGCCTGCAATCATGTTAAAGACCCAACCAACCAGTCAACCAGTCAGCCAACCAGCAAAAAGCCCCACCAAAGAAAAAAAAAAGTTTATTTTTATTCTTCCTCATTTTAATGACAAATAGCTTCAGATAGTAATGAGTATTCTTAGTTTACTTTAAAATGCTTTCAATATTTTTTTTAGAATTTCATACATGCATACAATGTATTTCTATCATACTTACCCCATCCCTTCCTCCTTAACTCTTCATGTATCCTGCACCTTAAAGGGTTATTATCTCACCAGAGAAATGAGCAAATTCAAGCCCAATTAAAATATATATAAATACAGGTTTATTGGAAAACTGCTCTCAGGAAGCCAAGTACACTGGCTCCAGGGAAGGAGACTAGGGAAGGGAGAGAAAGGGGAGGAGGCAGAGAAAGAGAGAAAGCATGCTGGTAGAGAGAAGGAAAAGGGAGGAGGGGAGATCAATGAATTATGAATAGAAGAACGTCCTAGGGAAGGGCAGCCCAGCTCCTGGGCTGGAAAGTCCAGGGTTAGGGATGAGGTACCCTAGGTAGGAACTGGGGGATGCTGGGAAAACTGGAGGCCATGTCTGCTTAGCTGTGTAAAATATGTACCTCAATCCCTTGTCCAGAGTGTATAACTCAACACACCTGTCCCCCTTCCAACTTTGTAACTCTTATATGTAACCCACTGAATCACAATGATGCAGTTTATATACACATGGTTGGGGGCCATCCACTGGGCGTGATCAACATACCAGGGACCACACACTTAAAGAAAAAAATAACTCTCCCTCTGCCAGCAGCCATCAACAGTTGGTAGCTCCTCAGCTAGAGGTGAAGGCTCTTGTGCCCCTCCTCCACCAGTGCTAGAATGTTGACTGGCTTGATCTGTGCTAGGAAGTCTTTTGCAGGGAACCACAGCTGCTTTGAGTTCAGGGCAAGAATCCTGTCACCTCTAGAGGACATTGTTTCTCCTCAGTCCTCCCCAATCTTTCTTGTCACTTCTTTCATGATGTTCCCTGAGCTTTGTAGGTGGGGGTGTGATATAAATGTCCCATTCTTGGCTGAGACATCCACAGACTCTCAGTACTTTGACCCATTATGAGTGGTTAGCCACTGTCTCTTAGTCTAATTTGTAAACCCTTCAATTAGCTCCTTAAACTGCTCAGATCGAAGCCAGATTAATGAAAGTAGTCTCAAGAGAGCCCTGATGACTTTATCAAGTACGTCCAGTACCAGCTCATCTGACTTGGTATCTCAGTGGCTTCTGACTTCATCTTGCTCCTGTTTCTAAGGCCTAGGCTGTAAATTTCACTTTTAGTTCCTCAGATGAAGGGATGAGATGAGAGCTGTACCTAAGTTGTAGACATACATGGGCTGGGCTGAGCCCTGGAAGCTTCATCTCCATACAGTCTAATCTTCCAAGCTGACTGATTCAATTTGGTTTCTCTTGTCTTCTGACTGAACTGCTCTGCCTGGTTTCATACTAACTCTGGCAATCTGTTCTAATCTTCCCACTCTCTGGCTTGTTCTGTCTTCACCTATGTCTAGCTTGTTTTTCCTACCATCTGTCTTTGTAAAACTGTCCCACTAAAACTGCCTCACATGCCTTTCTCTCAGTGTGCTGCTCTAAAGTAGCCTCTTCTTCTTGTCTGTTCACATGAGAGTTGGGTGTATTCTATCTCTGACTCATTCTGTCAAATCATTTTCTGACTCATCGCTTTGCCCCTCAATTAGACACCACTTTCAAATATGGCTGTTTCCTTCTACAAACTAACCTTCATTGTTAGGGATTAAAGGTGTGTACTAAGGGCTTGTCTATATTCCAGCCAGATCATACTGTAATACACAGAAATGTCTCCATTACATCCAGATCACATAAACCTAAAAGGTTTTCACACAAGACTCTGCTCTTTCTATTTTCCTTTGTGACAACAGAAGATTCCTCTGACTGCTGAATTTTTCTTTCACAATTTTATACCCACTACTTCCTCTTATTGTCCTTAACATGGACCATTGGTGATCTAGACATCTGCTATTTAATGTAAGACTATGTATAAGTGGATGTACGGGGTTATCACCATGCTCTCCCTCATGCTTCAACTCCAAGTTGAGCTTTTCCCTAACATTTCCCCAAGAGTCCCTCAACTTCAGTGCATATATGATCTACCACCTCACTGGCCTTCCTGTGAAGGGCGGTACCTAGTACCTCTTCTCTATGGGAAAACCCTGAAAGATTTTCAGTCTTCCTCCCCTTCCCACTACCATACCTTTGTCTGTCTGTCTATCTGTCTGTCTGCCTGCCTACCTGCCTGCCTGTCTGCCCTTTTGTCTGTCTGTTTAACTCCATAGGCTCCACCTCACAGTATCTCTTGAGTCCAGCCCCCCCACAGCATCTGCTTCACCTCCTGTAAAGCCCTCTAACATGCTGCTTTCTTCAGCCTCTGCCTTCTTCAAGCCCCACTCCATGCTGCCTCCAGACTGCAATCCCAAAACAAATCCCCAAATCTTCATGTCGGCTGCTATTCCAGGATTTCTATTCTAGTTACTCAGTAACACATAATGAATGACACCAAAATGTACTGGTTGGGAGTAAAAACAAAAGTCAAACAACCAATCAAGTAAGAATCCATTTTTCTCTCTCT